GGCGGACACGCCCCCTTGCCGCGGCCGCGCGAGTGGCCGGCTGGAGGCCGCGCCGTCCGGGGGTTGCGGGAGGCGTCGTGGAAGCCTGGCTAGCGCGGCGTCTGGACTGAGGCGCCGTGCGGGCCGAGCGCTGCCTTTCCCGAGCGGTGGTGCTGTGGGGATGGGGGTGGGGGTGGAGAGAAGTGGGGGATCGTAATCCTGCGAGGGGGTGTTGTTTCGATTTTATTTTAATTACAAGTTCCTAGAAGTCCTAGAAGCATTGCCAAAGACACTTTAGCTTTGAGGGGAGAAGGGGAGAGACTTCGAGTTTCTGTCTTCTTAAAGAAATATTTGTGTAATTTCCTCCTAGAAGAAAAAAGTTGAATACTCAGACATTTCTCACGATGTAAAATATTTATTTAAAAAATCCAGCACTTCCATGGTGTCCAAAACACTACAGCATTTTTCTGTCCCTGTCCAGAATGTCCATATCGCTGCCAGTTTCTCCCATGAAACAGTTCTTACTCCTGAGAAAAATCTTGGAGAACAATTTTTGTTTTTCTATTTCCAGTATAAGCGATATTATTACAGTGGGTATTTTTAAAAGCATCTTTTAAGAAGTACAGCGTTCCGTACAGTTATTTTCCCCCTTCTTTTCCCCCACCCATGCTTTAAAAATACCTGAAATAGTGGGGTATAGCACTAATTGAAAACCTTTATCACTTAAAAAAACCAAAAGTACTTAAAACTTACAAAATTAGAATTTAAGAATTTTTTTTTATCTTTAAGAGAAGTAAAAGTGGCTGGGCATAGTGGCGCAAGCCTGTAAACAGCACTGGGGAGGCTGAGGCAGGAGGATCCCTGTGAGTTTGAGGCCAGCCTGGGCTACATAGCGAGATCCTGTCTCCAAAAAAAGAAAAAGAAAGAAAGAAAGAAAGAAAGAAAGAAAGAAACTAAAAGCAGGATTTGCAAAATGGAAAGATAATTGATGAAGCTGCAAGATTTGGATAAATATCATATCCCCCTTAACTCTCCTGAATATGTTCTGTTCAAGAATATTCTTGTTTGCAAGGAAACCATTTATCCCTATTAAGGGATAAACAGGGTATATGGAATTTTCTCTCAGATGGTTCACAAAAATAAATTATATATATGTGAAAACATATATACATATTTCTTATGTATTTATGTTAAGAATATACCCATGTTTACATTGGTCATATACATACCGAAAGAGATTGAGAGAATTGACAAAAAAAATCAGGGTGGCTCTCTTGGGGCGGGGGATATAGCTCAGCCACACAAGTGCCTGCCTGGCAAGTGCAAGGTCCTGAGTTTGATTCCCAATACAAAAAAAAATCAAGGAGAAAATTGAAAACTCAGTGACTCTGTTATTTTATCTTTTATATTAGCCCTCATTTGGAGAGGGGAGAGAGGAGATATAGTACATAGTACAGTCATCTTGAGGAGTTGGCACGTACATATCACATTTTAGTCCTTTTCACTTCCACTACCTTCCCTAGGTTATTTTTAAATAAAATTTTTTATTTGATGAATCTGGTCATTACTATCTTTTCTTTCTTTGTTTGTTTCTTTCTTTATTTATTTTGTCACAGTCTTGTAAATTTTTTTAAGCAAGTTTGAAACAATTGCAAAATCAGTAATTTTAAACGCCAAAATTTGAGAGCTGAGTAGGGTGTAATCCCAGCACTTGGGAGGCTGAGGCAGGAGGACTGCCACAGTTCAAGGTCAGCCTGGGGTACAGGCAGAATTTAGGACTAGTCTGAAATATAAAGCAAGATCCTGTCTCAAAACCGAACCGAAACAAAACACCAAAAAACAAAACAGGATTTGGACTGGGGGTGTTAACAGTGGTAGAGTCCATGTCTAGCCTATGCAAAGCTCTTGGTTTGGTCCCTTGCACTCTCAAAAAGCAAATCACTTTTCCTTTAAATCTCTAAGGAGAACAGAGAGTCATAGATGATAGGTCCTTTTAGAGTGGAAGTAGTCATCTGTTCCTCGATTGCAAACTGGAATTTGGGTCATCCAGGTGTTTCTTCTCCCTTATTTATTTAAATTTGGCACAAAAGCCAGGCATGGTGATGCATGCCTGTAAATCCTAGCACTCCAGAGGCTGAGGCAGGAGGATCACTGAGAGTTTGAGGCCAGCTTGGGTTACAAAGTGAGTTCAGGTCCAGCCTGAACTGCATAGCAAAACCATGTCGTAAAGACAAAAAAAGCCAGGAATCCTTATTTATGTATTTGGTAAATGTGATTTCCATTATTTATTGATTCGGCAAATATTTGGAATCACAAGATTCTGGAGAAAATAGAGTGGAACAGACTGCCTTCCAGGTACTCTCTGTAGTGGTTACAGAAAAATTGTGTGTGTGTAAAATCCTTAAACTGTATTTAAGAGCCTTTTAGTCTGGTACTGTGCTGTCTGTTTAAATGGAAACATAATTAAAATTCAGGCCCTCAATTGCTGTCACCACATTTCAAGTGCTCCAAACCCAGTGTTCCATCTTCACAGAAAAGCTACTCAACAGCCCTGGGAGTTAAAGAAATTACACAAATAGCATGGAGGCAATGTAGATAGTGATAAATACCGCAGAAGTCTAAAGGAGTAGAGATTACTTTGCTGGAAGGTAGAAGTGGAAGAAATAGGGCAAGTTTGAAGAAGAAAATTGCATATAGTCCAGGGGAAGTGAAGCAAGAGTGCTCCAGGCAGAGAACACAAACAGAGCTGGGAAGGGAGGGACGTGAGAGATGGCACTTAATTCCGTGTGTCTGTCTGTAACTCGAGATATAGGAAGGAGCATAAGGCTTTGCAGGGCTCACAAGGGCTGAGTCAACGCTTTTCTCCAGACAATGGGAAGTTCTGCCTTTAGACAAGATGGATGACTTGATTTAATAGTTCTTAAGAACAATCCATCAGCCGGGCATGGTGGTGCATGCCTGTAATCCCCGCACTCAGGAGACTGAGGCAGGAGGATTGTTGAGAGTTTGAGACCAACCTGGGCATCAAAGTGCCTGAACTGCATAGCGAGACCCTGTCTCAAAAAGACAAAAAAAAAAAAGAACAATCTCAACAGGTATATGACATGGATTAATAGGAAGCCATAAAGACCAGAGAGCAGTATAACAGCCCAAATGAGAGAAATGGTATGATATGATCTCGTAAGCATGTTTTCAATAGCATATAACAAGTCCTAATTTAAAATGCCTTAAGTAATTAGTAAATTTGTATCTCACAAATTTAGAAAATCCGAGGTGCAATAGACTCCAGGTCTGAAAATTAGACGTTCAGTGTCGTCGAGGGCCAGTTTCTTCCCATTTCTTTTCTGCTGTCTTGGGGGTTGGCATCATTTTCTGCTGTTGGTCCCAGGCATCCTGAACTATAATGCCCAGAGGAAGAAGAAGCTGTCCTAGGAGAGGGAAAATGTTCCCCAAAACTGCTTCCTTCAGCAAACTTTCTTGCCTGTCTCCTAGGCCAGAGTTGAGTTGATCCCTAGTCCTCATGGTGCAACAAAAGGTGAGGGGTCAAAGATGGCTAGGTTGGAGTGAAAATGACTTGGGAATGTAGAAAGAGAAGTTATAAGAGAAAGCATGACTTGTTTCTAATAGTCCCTCTGAGTCTGAGATGCCAGGGATTGTCCAGCTGGAGATGGTGGCTGGGCGGATGAGATGGTGACTCTTGAACATCCAAGAGAAGCATGTGAGAATAACAATGCAGGCACAAAGGAAGAAGTTTTTAGAAGGGGTATTTTCTGGGACAAAATATATAAGAAAGGAAAAAAATCAACAGCTGTGTTTGTGTCCACATGCATGTGTACAAACTGAAGTCTGGTCCTAAGATTTGTATGGATGTGTAAAGGCCTAGAATAACCAAAACAATTTGGAAGGAGAACAAAGCTGAAAAACTCACTCTACCAAATTTCAAAACTTATTATGAGGCTTGGTAATTAAGACAGTGTGGTATTGGCAGAAGGATAGCTGAATATACCAAAGAAACATAATAGAGAATCCAGAAATAGAACTTGAGAACTTGATTTATGGCAAAGTTACTGCTGCAGTTCAGTGAGGAAAGGATAATATTTTGAACAAATGGTGGTGGAGCAATTGGCTACTCATCTGGAAAAAAAAGAACATTTTACTCCTACCTCACTCCATATACAATAATTAATTCAAGATGGATCATAGACCTAAGTGGGGAAAAAAATTAAGCTTCTATTAATCAAGACATTGCAGTATCA